AGATCGGATGTGGTGTGAGCAGAAGAGAGGGGCCAGCTGAGTCTGCCGGGTCCAAGCCTGATCAGCCCAGACAGGGGAGGTAGCGACAAGTGTCCGCTCTGGGGGCGGGCACCTGGCAGCGTTAAAGGTCTCTCAGACGACGGCGAAGGAAAAGGGTCTGAAAAGCGCACATCTGCCTCTTCTCCACGGTTTGGAGAATCTCTCTCCTTCACCCTTTTCCACCTGGCATTTCCTCGAGTCCTGACTTTGTGTGGGGGCAAGCCGGTGTCCTGTTTTCAACCTGCCTAACCTGATGCGGGGTCTCTTGTCCCACCCAAGAACCTCTCGGAGCTGGTGGCCCTGCAGACGCGCCTCAAGCACCTCCAGGCGGTGAAGGACGGCAGGTACGTGTTCCTGTTCCGCTCCAAGCAGTCGCTGCTGGCGGAGCACAAGCGCTTGGACAACCGGCTGGCCGTCATCAGCACCATCCTCCACCACGTGAAGGACGAGTACCCCCAGTTCCAGGAGGCCCTGCTCAAGGTCAGCCAGATGATCGCCAGCAAGCTCGAGCCATCTGGGTCCTCCTAGAGAGAAGCCGGGACCTCCCCCCAGCCTGCTCCCATGGAAGAGACCAGAATTTTGTGTATGATCAGGGACTTAGAACGTTCGTGTCACCGAAAGCCACGTCCACCCTCAGAGAGGTCCTTTAAGACGAATAGGCAGGCCAGCATGGCGTGATTCTTTCAGCCACCAGCAATTTCCACTAAGGCCCCCCCCCCCCCCCCACTCCCGCTACGTTTCCGGTGGCGTTTCAGAGGTGGGGTGTCTCCCACCCCGCGCTGGACTCGAGGTCCAAGCGGCGCCCGGGTTCGGGGAGGCTCCCGCCTCCGCCCTTGACAGGCCTGCTCACCGTCATGGTCCAGGGCGCGGGGTGCAGCGGGAGCGCCCCACGGAGAGCGCGGGTGGGACGGGCGCCCCCAGGACGCACCTGCCCTGGGCCTCCCCAGCGGCCCCCGCCCTAAAAGGGCCTACGAAACAATTTCGCTTTCCAACTTTTCATCGAAAAATAAAACTTTTTCTGAATATGGGGGAAAGGCGTATTTCTCCGGGAGCGCGTCGGAAACCGGCCCCACCCGCGCCGCACCCTCGCCCCGCCGGGGCCCCCCACGGCGCCCTGTCACGTTGC